AATAGATATGAATAATATTTTTCATTCAGTTAATTTTTATATGTAAAATATAATTTTAATTTGCCTATTTCACTGCGAATATTCTTTTCTGTAAAATCGAATATTTTTAATCAGCTATTACGAAGACTCTTTCAGGATTTGGACTGAGATGATATTTCGAATCTACGTGTATGCTACAAAATTGCATTATCCATGCAAGTCATTCTGAATAGGCAGACATCGATTTAAAGACTAATGCCTCATTCAAACCATTAGTGACAAATTGTAAACAGCCATTCTTTTGGTAACTGTATTATTTATAATTATTGATTACACATTGCAGGAGGTAGGCTGATGATCATCTGGCTGCACCTAGCGTGAATCTGCTTATCCACATTATGCTATAGGAATTCACATAGAATAAATTCATAATAAATAAAAGGCTGGATTTGACACTTAAATATACTTAACTATACATCTAAACGGCTAGATCGATTCCAAGTGAGGGCAATTATGTTCAGCAGCGCTCCTGCACGTTTAGTGGTGAGTATCGCTGAAGAACAAATCCCTCAATATTTGACTTGTATAAAGGGAATACTTCTGCCTTGGAGTTCAACGATCAATGCAACCATCACTTTTACTGATATTCATGTATTTTTCACGCTGCTCTTCCGTTTCGCACTTACGCACCTCAATTCAGAGTCACCACCTCATCTTCGCGCCTCACATCTCAACGCCAATATCATCCCAACCCATCGCCCGTAACATTTATGACGCTTAGCTCTTCACTAATCGGGACATTGGCACCGCCACAGCATCACATCGAACAAGCCATTTTCTTTTAAACTAGGAATCCCGTGCTATCCCAGTGGACTTTTAGCCTTGCAAATTAACCTAATTGAGATTTCAAATCGTAGGCCTTAGCAGTACATATGTGAATCAGATTGTAACAGTGGTTTGGTTTAGCCAACACGTAGGCATTCCAGACCCACGCATGGACAGCAAGCCATTGTTTCCATGTTGCACCGCAAGGACGTGGTTAGAATGGAAAGCTCTTACAATACTAACTTCCGGAGTTCATGCAAGAGCTCATTTCCTAATTGTCCAATGATGGCCTGTGCAGTTGCATTATTATTAATCCATATACCTATCTACCGAATATGCTAGTCACTCATATATCTATATTACCCACCTTTCTATCCATCTATTTGTCTTTTTTTCTCATTTCATTCTGCCTATCTATTCATCTCCAAGCCCACTTATTTAGATCAATAAAGGAGTTTTCTCTCAACCTTTCCATCGCCATCTCTTTGATCAATCAAAAAGGCTAGCAAATAGGGCAGTTTATCTAGAAGCTCTTTTTGCTCTTTCATTCATATACGTGCAAGATCTGACGTTGCATACCACTATAGTGAACTTTGATCGTTTAATTAACTAGAAGTCAAAATTAGCTAAATTTCAGGTGCATGAAGCTATCATACATATTCAACTCATTAATCATCCTAAACGAGAGACTTACTAGCATGTAGTTACTCCATTTCCATCCTCTATGGATAATTATTAAGTGAATAAAGAAGAGTAGGATCTACTTATAGTGAGGGAACAATAGCAAAAATGGGTTAGTTTGTCCTGAAAAACGTGCAAAACGTGCTAAGTCCTGTGAAATTACAAGAGCAAATGTTTTGGAACTTCTCAGATAGGTGATTGCTACTACAAATGTTGACATCCGAGATAAAATGCAGTCCGATTGCGGCGACAATCAATTCGGGAAAAGTTTGTATGGGATCAGCTTTAATGATTGTTTTCAAATTCCAGTCAAAAAGGAAGTTAAATATGTGTTATCAGAATTAGATAAGGTTCCAAATTTTGACCTCGAGACTGAGCGTAAGCATTTAGCATGCGGTGGAAGATTTAGTATAGTAGTGGTGTCAGTTTTTATTAGTCATGAGGATCGATGATGACTGACTGGGACTGTATATGAAATTTCACCATGGCACCGCACAATCCTGTAGTTGAATTGAATCAAATTCGTCTAAAATCATCATATTGAGATATTTGAAGAATATT